ACGCTGCACGAGTAGCTACACGAGTCTTCCACTTCCTTCAACCGGTGCTGCACTTTCCGCTATTGTGCGCAACCCTGCGTCTCAGATCTTTTTAGCCGGACCGGCACGTCAAGTGAGACAAAGAAACTCGAAACACGTGCAAGTACTCGCGGAGGAAACATGTATGCATGAGCGTTATAAATAGAGACGGAGCGAGAATAGTAACGAACGTATATGATATTGCTTACAAAATGTCACCGTGTCTAAATGACGTCTTTACTTTCAGCGTTTGCATCTGTCCCGAAGTTGCTCCGAAGAATGGAGCAGCACCAAATCTGCACCAAAGCGAAATATACTGGAACGAAACAGCGCGTTGTTCATTGATAAGTTCGTTGATAAGAAGAAATGGCTGTCGGGTGAGAAAGGGACGTGTTATTCGCGCGAAACGAAGTATACGCGAGCGCGATTGATCAGAGCGAAGATCGAAATATTACGTTTGACGATCCTATTACGGCGCCGTTATCCCATCCGTCACGCCAGTAAAACGTGAAGAAGTGCCTCGGGGAAAATAGACGAGCAGAGTTAGATGGGTAGGTAGGTAGGTACAATCCAGCATATCTCTCGCACGTATCTCCTTAAGGTATACTGGTGGGTCTCCTTAAGGTGTACTGCGAATTTTTTTTACAAACAGAAACGTACGTGTCGACGTTGTGACACCTTCTCATTCAGAGCTTATACAATAGGCACACCCACATCTCATTGCGGTAACCGAGTTTCATTGTGTTTTAACATGCAGCGGCGCACGCACTCGCTCTCTATAAGAGCGTGCTTGCTTCCGCGAATCTGCTGCAATATCTGAAGATTGCGGAGATGAAGCAAGCAAAAAACGAGCACGCCACCGAAAGCGGTTTATTCAAGCGCTAAACAGGTAGATATGTATGTAAATGGTAAACTCTTGTAAAAGGTATGTAAATGGTGGATGCTCTGCTATGTATATGTAATGCAACACGACGTTATCCAATTTGAGAAAGAGAGAGAGAGAGAGAGAGAGAGAGAGTTGGAGGGACAGAAATAAATTTTAATTGTGCGGTAGCTGCAAATTGATTCAATTAGTATCAGCCGGCAAATGTAACACGCATTGTATACAATTCATTCGACGTTGCTTGCTCGCGATTATCTTGTGATTGTTGATTCGTGTTGTAATAAAAATGACGTTGGCGTTGAAATCCGAACGCATCTCGTATATAATTCAGCGGATTCATTCGCGTGTGCTTATTAGAATATTTGTACGCATGACCGTTTCCCCGTACATTTCATGTCAAAGACAGACGTAAACATTCACAGTCTGCAGCGCGATTTATATAAAAACAGATTAAATCTCCTTATCGATTCGTTGCAGTTATGTTTGCCTCTAACCAGGACTGCTTCGGAACGACAGAGAGAGAGAGAGAGAGAGAGAGAGAGAGAGAGAGAGAGAGGCGGTCAGAACGGGATAGAGGCAAGCAGGTATAACAAGAAGCAACGAGTTAATCCAGGTAAAGAGATAAATTGAATAGTCCAGACGTTCGTCATTTACGATCGGAATATATGAAAGTTCTGACGTCTATATGCAAACATTTATCTTCCCGTTTTATCATACGCGAGAGTTTGGCAATCCGGAGAAGAGAATAAATATAAAATGGTCTCTATAAATAGACTCAATAAAAAATTAATTAATCATTTAAAAATTTCTTTAAAAATTTCTCGCGCAAACGAAAGTGGACAATGTGAATAAAAGATCGTTTCTCGAGATCTCGCGTGGTATGTCTCGAGATAATTGCTCGAGTGCGCGTAAAACGTACATAAGCTATATCGTACAGCTTATACGATCGTCAAACTATCCTTCTTACGCAAGCATGGCGGGCGCCACGTTTTATCGTACATAAAGATGTACACATTCTGTATATTCTTCGCACATTCTATATATTCTTCGTTTATCGGATATCCACTCCGTTGTATCGAGACTGTTTTCAATTTAAACGGATAAGAAATATTTGGTCGGGTGAGCACAATGCGCACGGGACATCACATAGCTTGTTATAAAAAGAGAAGGTCAAACTTTTATCCCACAAGGCGATTGCGGTCGTTTTTGGACAAAGAGATTTGTATCTCGATCTTGAAAAGCGAAGCTAAATCTGAACACGCGGAAAATCCCTTCTTCTTCTTTCTTCCGTACGGAAAATCTAGAATGAAGACTCAAAACTCTTGTGTTCGGTGCAACTGCGACATACGTATTTCAAGGTAAGACTCAGTGGCACAATAGCCTTAATGTGTCGCGCAACCAGGTTATCAAATTTATTTAACTATACGTATTATATATTTAATAATTATTCAAAGAAACGGGAGCGACGTGTCGCACTATTTTCGGGAGAGTTGAACGCAATAATTCCTGTGTTTATATTAATGTTCAGAAACAAATATCTACAGTTTAGATATATTTATGTAAAACTATAAGGAAACTTATATTTACATAAAGATACAGGAAAATACCGACAACTTGATTGTATCATGTTTTAAGACCATTATATTGCTTTGTGCAATCTCATGTTCAATTATTGCTGCGTAATCATTTAAAAAAAATGTGTCCGTAACATTTCTTCCTGGGATATAAGTTTCGCGGGAGATAGAGATTCCACGGCAATTTTGAAACTTTGTTCGAAGTATCTCTCGACGTTAATAATATAGCTCGTAGTGACGGGATACTAGAGGTCCTATCGTCGTGTCATCTATGTCTACTTAGCTTTACACGCTTACTTTATTTCCTTACGTTATTTATGAAATACAGGGAGTGCCTCCCTAACACACTCTTAAGCTTTGAATCTTTGAAATATGTGCTTGTGGTCTGAAAGTTAGTTACTTCAATCCAATCATCTCTTAAATATAAAGCGGACGCGTATGTACTGTAACATGATTACTATGGAAAAAAGAGGAGAGAAAGTACAAAATGAAGCCACTGAACCGAAGCGAATAAAGTTCATCCTTAATTTCGTGGAAATTTGAATGGAAGTTTTAATGGAACGAACGTAAAAAAACTGACGTATCCCGACATACGTCGGGATATGAATTAAAAAAAGAGAATCCTTTTCTTCCGGCACGTGAAACAAGAGTAGCACGAAATGTCGAAATAACTTAAATCACAAGCGCTTAATGTATCGGTGAGTAGTCTGATGATCGAAGCTTCAGCAACACGCATATACCAAAATCTCTTTCTTGCATATTATTTGCCACGTGCATATCGTATCAAACTCACGAACAACCAAACACACACATGCGCATAGATTGGCAACCCAGTAACCTTACGACCCACGTAGAGCAGTTTTTCGTGAAACTCCCGTTAACATTTAGCATTTGACCAAAATAGAATTAACGAGATCTTTCCGATCATATGTATTCGTTTGTCGGAAAATTTAAATAATTAAATTAAGAGGTAGAAAGAAAGAGAAAGAGAGGGAGAGAGGGAGAGAGAGAGGGAGAGAGAGAGAGAGAGAGAGAGAGAAGAGAAATCGTGACGCAGCGTATTTACACAGGAAAACGTAACGAGATGAAAGCTGGACTCGATTCCCCGGAATAATCAATCTACATCTAAACAGGCAACAAAATGGAAGTAGCACTAACGAAGCAAATGGAAATTTAGAAAAGATCGAGGTATTAAGAGCTGATAAAAAAGTATTTCCCCAACAGACTTGCCGTCACTTCTCCGATAAACAATCGATTGGAGAATTTTTACACCAGCTGCATGCCATTGTCCAAAATTCATTGGCCGATGGAACAGTTATAAAATATCACCAGTTTGATTAAATAAGCGATTCCGTAAATCTTTTCGAGCGCTTTGATTTGACGTTCTCGAATGTTCAACATGTTTAACATCGTCGTGTCGAATGGCTGCCGCATGGATGATCACTCCACTAGCGATATTAAGCGACGTTTAAAATAGTACAGCTTTCGGCTAATTATACTTTGAATTAGCGGAATCAAATGATTCATGTAGGGACAGTTTCAATACATCGATGCAATCGTCATTTAATGCGTTCAAAACGTCACATTCGGCGACGCTTGGAAATTAAAATAAAAAATGCCGCACGAACCGGTATTCTACCTACGACACGTTCTTTCCGGACTTATTTGTCGCGAAATTTACGCGGAGTAGAGCGAATCGCAAAGTGCGGTCGTTGCTGACGATAACATCGAATTCTTTTCGGCATGGTAAATCCAAACGCATTCTCAAGCTACGGGCTTATAAATTCGCCTTGAAGAATTATCGTCGCTTTGCTCGTTCTTGCGAGAGGATATCATTTTTTAGCAGATAGTGTAAAATGCACTCGGATAATACCTAATCTTGATGAGAAATTGACGCGTCACGAAGTATTGGTGTACATCATTCAAATTATCTTCCAAGATCGACATCAATTATAGTGGACGGTAATGTCGGCTATTTACAAGCTTAACAACGGTACAGGGTGTACCGTCGAAAGCCTGCGAAGGAAACCGAAAGTCTCGTTTCCACCCGAGTTATTTCGGCAGCGAAGCATGCCGAGGACCTTACCGTTGAATCCTTCGACATGGGACAATTTGCGAGACAATTAGCCACGCGCGCACCATAATCGCCTATGAAATAATTCGCGACTTCCCGCTGAGTAATCAACGTGCAATCAATAATCGACGAGTCAACGTGCGGTTCCACCAACGCGCGCGTATCGGTAACCGAATAATCGAGCTGGAGGCCAAAGTTGGCAGCATTCGCGCGGCTAATAACGATGCTGATCTATTCGCGTGGCAGACAAACGACAGTATCAACGCTACGAACGGAATTCGGCGTTTGTGGGCGGATTCTCATTGGCGCGATACAGGAACAGCTCTTTCCTGTCCTCCGCTTTCCGGAAAGCATCTGTATTCAAAGACGCGCGCGCGACCAGCATTGGCATGCTGGAAACGGGAAGTTTCTAAACGTGCCGTATCCAGCTCGCGTGATTCGTCCTTCTTACCGAGCACGATCCACATGACGATGCTGTTGCCACCGATCGCGACCAGCACTATGATCGTGTAAATTAGCGACCAGAGGAGCTTCTGCCACCACGGCAAGTTAAACGGCCGCTCCTGATTCGCGAACACGCAGTCGACGATCCGATCGCGGAGAAAGTCCGACCGGTCCGAGCTGTTCAGCGCCTCGTGGACCACGCTCAATAATTCGGTGTAATTCAGCCTGAGCAGCAGCGTGACGTTGCGTTCCAGGACCCATGCGCTGCAATTGTACAAGAACGCCAAAGTCTCGCTATTCATATTTGTGAGGGTCGTCTTCTACACGAATCGTGCGGAGAGAGTGTGTGCTGCAGAGGTGTGCTTTGTTCTACGCTATCCTCTCCCGCCCGTCACTTTCTCTCTCGTTGCCTTCTCCGCACGGCTCATCTAATCGATTTGATCAGCCGCAGCTACCGACTTCCTCCTACTTCACTCACAATGGACTAGCGTGCGGCTATCATTATAAGCGGCTCAACCCGATCGCTCGTTTCTTTATCGGGGAGAGGCCGATCTCACGGCACACGCTGGAGATCCCGCCGACGGGTTCGTCCTAGGAGAGCTATTATCCATTCTCGCCGTTGATGGTTCTCCGACGTAAAGTGTCTCTACTTTTTCACCCGCTCGGCCGCAGCAGAGCCACTCGCCGCCGAATATTCCCTCGTCGTCCAGCGAGTCCAGCTTCGGCGTGGTAATGAGATTGCCGTCGAGACGAGGAAGGAAAGCGCGACGCCGGACGCGCGACACGATCGTCGTATCCCGCATTCACTTTAATCCGGAGACGTCACGGCTAGTCTAGCTCGCGCGCAGCGACCGGCGCTGGAAAATCCACTTTACATCGACCTACGAGACTCGTGTCGTCCTTCAGTCGATCCTCCGCGAATCCTCCGCGAATTAATTCAACGAACGCGGCTGCTTCCGCGCACCGTGACGCCTTTGTTGTCGCGATTACGCCTCGCGGTAACGCGTCCCGCTTGCATCCTTCCGCCGCCAGGTCCTTTTCATCGATGTCGTGGGACTTGCGATTTATCGGCGTATCGCCGATTTCGGTCGATTTTCCGGCGCGCTGTCGCGTCTCGTGCTATTTCTCCCGGCGTGTCGTGATAAATATCGCTGACGAGATTCGCGGCACTTGTCGGGACAGTAACGAACGAATGTCCATAAAACTCACGTCTGGACTGCGGGACATTTCCCTCGAGGATATTAATACGCTTTTCGCATTTGTCGCGCACTCGAGGCGCGTGGGATCGCGAACCCGCTCATCGTCATCGTTATCCCATCTGTGGTCGCGATCGATCGGCGGAAACCGCGAATCGTCGTGGGCGCGATTCTTGTTTCAAAGTTATTGTCACTGGCAGCGACAAACGGCACAGTTCGTCATGTTGCGTCTGAGAACTCGGCGACATGTATCGGCATATTTATCGGGATCGGCCGCCTGATTATTCTCGTGGCCATTTATTCACAACTCGCGACTCGCCGGTTCTTCTCACTCAGTCAAGCACTCATATATATATATATATATACATATATATATATTATCGCTCCTTCGCTTGTGCGTGTTTCGCGCGCGGACGTGTCTGGTACACGTGACCTACGCAATTTGCATCGGCCGCGATCGCAGCTGGATTCCGGCCTGAATCGGCCGATGTACCGCACGGAAGAACCCCGCCGGAGAAACTGACGCCTGAAAAGCGCGTTCATTCAAAGGTGCGTGCGCACCACCCTCGCGCCCACGCGCCCCGTTCCTTCGTCATCACCGTCCCCATGCACGTCCGAGACTCTCCACTTGGTCACAAGTGTCAGTAGATAGGAAAATACGCGCAAGGATGCCTGCGTCGATTCGCAAACCGGATATCAGCATGCTCCGAGATTTATGGCGGCTATTTTTCAGGATAAGAGCCGGGAGATGTTTGCGCCACACGTATGACTGCAGGATATCTTCCGGCAGATTTAACAGACGCTTTGTGTCGCGCGTTCGTCGCAATATGGCCACAGTCTGTCGGCTTCTTCAAACTGGTAGACTCTAAACTCTCGACTTGTAAAAATCGCTGGCTAACTTGCGATATCAATTTGGCCGCCGCTTAAGGGGACTGGAGGGTCAGATTGCTGAAAAATCGTGCTTGTTTTTGTGAATATTTTGTGACGAACTGAATAAATGTGCAAGAATGAGAATTTTAGGTTTAGGTATAGGTATATTATACAGCATATGAAGAGTAGAAAAATTTTGTTTATTAACAAATACTCGTATAAATATACGATATATATATAGTTGAAATATATGCTCCCCTCTTTCTTTTTCAAGTTATCGTTTTTGCAGTAATATCTCGGATCTCGGTGGTTCGATCAGAGCGAATTTTAGCTAGAAATCTTAAAGAGGCTTATCATTATCCGGTGAAGCACTATAAAAAAATGTCGAACAAAATTAACAAAATGGCAGCTATTATTAGGAAAAAATTCAAATTTTACAGTTATTATACAATAAATAAATTAATATCTCGAAATGAAATATTTTGACGGAGTTGTTCATGGTTCACCTGAGAGCCAGATGAACAAATATTATTGCTTTAAAATTTCAAATCGATACGAGGCTCAGTTTCGGAGAAATCACTGCAAAAGTTGAATAAATAAATAAAAAAGCAATAAATAAATAAAATTTCGGGAGAAACGCATTTAAAATTTAAGTGGACGTATATTTCTACGAATATTTGTTAATAAACAAAATTTTTCTACTCTTCATATGTTATATAAATATATCAAAAATTTTTATTCTTGCACATTTATTCAATTCGTCACAAAATATTATCAAAAAACAAGCACGATTTTTCAGTAATCTGACCCTCCAGACCCCTTAAGGGATAACAGTTCCGAGTGAACGCCTGAAAACACAGAATAAGTTTGGGAATTTTTGTAGTTAAATAACAACATAGATGGAAAATTGGTTTGAAGGCCTCTAAACGTGCATACCTTAAACTACACAAAACAATTTTTTGTTATTATTTTGCCTCAAGATGGCGGCGTTGAAGCTCTCTAAGTAAAACCACGTTTTTCGAATTGGCTTGCAGCAGAACTTTAACAAATTTCATCCGATCCGCTCGAGATTTTTACTAGTAGCTGCTAAACTAAATTCTCTGGAGAAGTATACGTGATTTTTACTATCGGTTTAAAATTTTTGTTATTATAAATATTTCTTCACTGAGTTTCTTGGATAAAACTGAAACTTCTTTTCCTAATGTTCACCATTTCTGCAAAAATCAATATTTTAAGATATACGTGTATACTTCTCTAGCAAATTTAATGTAGATTAACAAAAATTTTGCCTTTTGTCCTGTTTGAAAGTGTATGGCATTTCTGCTGCAAGCCGCGGGGAAGCCATGAGAAAAATGCGGTTTTACTTGGAGAGCTTCAGCGCCACCATCTTGAGGCAAAATAATAACATAAAATTGTTTTGTGTAGTTTAAGGTATGCACGTTAGAGGCCTTCAAACCAATTTTCCATCTATATCGTTATTTAACTGTAAAAAATTCCCAAACTTATTCTGTGTTTTCAGGCGTTCACTCAGATATTATCCCTTAACTAAACCGTCGCTCACGGGCGGATAAGAACGAGCGCTGCCGAGTTGGGGATTACATCATGGCGTGAACTATAGAGATGCTTTATTATTGATTCAAATGATGTTTAAGTAATATTTATGTACATGACGCTCAAAGAGCGCTTTGAGAGCGCTCGAGGATGGAGATCGTCGTCATCGAGGCAACTACTCTTTCACACAGACGCGCCTCGCATCTCCGAACTCGACTGAATTTCTTGCGAGTGCGTGCTCGCGCACGTGCGCCTGCGCGCGGAGTAATTATATGTTAGATGATTGCACAAATTCATGTCCGATTTTCATAAATGGCGTTAACTTACTGCATAGCGGAGCTCTGGTATTTTTGTTTGATTATATTGCATGACACTGAATGACAGTGTCTTGTGTTACTTTAGCGTCAGGCATCGTTCAGATAAGTCGATTTGTATGTAGGAGAAATTTTGAAAAATGGACAACGAAAAGGTGCATTTTTGCGGCACTGTAAAGCTATACGAATTTCGGAAAGGCGTAAGTGTTGGGACTGCACAAGAAAACATTCAGAGCGTTTATTTGGACCGTGTGCTCCTGCTCTCCGGACAGTTAAAAAGTGCTTTGGCAGATTTCGAAATGGTGATTTCAACTTGGAAGGCTCTGGACGACCTTCTGGCGTTGATGACGCCAGATTCGACGTTGTGTGTGCCTTAGTGGAAGAAAAGCCAAGAGTTACAACTGAGGAGATTGCTGAGAGGCTGAAAATCGATAATTCGATCGCGTTTCGCCATTTAAAAAAGCTTGGATACGTTTCCAAGCTCGATACATGGGTACCTGACTGAAAGGAATAAGCTGAATCGCATGAGTGTGGCCATTTCTTTCCTCGCACGTAACAAAAAAGAGCCTTTTTTGCTTCGAATCGGTAACAGGCGATGAGAAGTGGATTCTGTACAATAACGTACAGCAAAAGAAGGAAAAAGCAGCTGAAGGTGCAGAACCCGTCGCAAAAGCTGGCCTGCATCCACTGAAGGTGTTGCTGTGTGTTTGGTGGGATTGCAGGGGAATTATTCACTCGGAACTACTCTGACGCGGCGGAACAATCACGGCGGACAAATATTGTGAGCAACTCACTAGACTCGATGCGAGAAAAACGTCCGGTTTTGGCCAATCGGAATGGCATCATCTTCCACCAATGCTAGACCGCAGCACATCGCCCAACAGACGCTGCGAAAACTGCAGGAGTTGCAATGGGAAATTCTCCAGATATTGCGTTTTCAGATTTTCATCTATTCCGGTTTTTGCAGAATAGTTTGAACGGCGAAAATCTTAAGTCCGAGGAAGCTGTCGAAAACCATCTTACGAACTTTTCTCAAGGAAAATCAAATGCTTTCTTCAAAAATGGAATCGACAAGCTTGCAGATCGTTGGAAAACGATTGTAGAGAAGAATGGAGACCATATTATTGATTAATAAAACTGTATTTTTTTTAATTTAACTTATCGAAGTTTATCTTTAAATCGAGCACCAATATTATATTTCATTGATAAAATTATCTATGTACGGTGACTCGTTTTCAGTTTCTTGGAAAATCCGATCGCTAATTCAACCTCCAGCCGGATGGCGATCCACCGCGCGCAATTCCCACCTGAAAACGTACGTGCGCACATTAATTGCGTAAATAGTGCGAATTTCGATGTAAATAACGCAAGCACGGCACACAAGACGGTCCCGCTGCGCGTTACATTGCGCCAGACAAATTAATATAATCTCACCGACAACTCGCAATCAGATCAGCCGCGGCAGCAAGCACCAATGTTTTGCGGAAATTATGCGCAAACAAAGAGCAACATTATATGTACACAGTTAAAAATATTTCGTACTTTTGTTAAAATTATTTGTGTGTAGAAAATTTTGTGTTAAATTGTTTAAACAGTCGTGTGTTAATTTAACATATCGTTGTTGCGTTACCTAGACTTTCTTGTGTTAAATTAAGATTATCTATTTCCAAGTATTAAAATAACATAATTTATATGTAAATGCATGAATTCTTGTTATGACATATTTTATACATGTATGTTATACATGAAGTGAACACCTAAAATGTGTTACTTTCCTCATTATAACAATTATCTTGGATTAAGTGTATAATGTTAATATTTCTAGTATGTGAAGATTGGATTTTTAACATATAGATTGTGTAGAACCTAATATTTTCATTTCATTAAATCATAGATCATTACTTTTTCCAAATGTTGAAGTAACATTCATTGTATGTCAATTTAACACAAACTGGGACTCTCGACGGTATTCAAATGTTAAATTTTTGTGTTAATTTTTTACATATTATGTGTGTTATTTATTAACATATTTGTTGTATGTTAAATTAACACATAAATGAGAGTGGATGATTTGAGACACATGAAATATGTTAAATTGGACACATCATTTCTTACAGTGTATTTATTTCCCGCACCTTCAGAAGCCACTGCGCGAGTGCGTTAATTTCGACTCGACTCGAGTTTCTCATTCTCCCTTTTTTATCTCTCTTTCTCTTTCTCTTTCTCCGTGAGACACACGACTTGTGTCTCCCGCTAGCCAGAGCTAGCAAAGAAAAAGATATATCTTTTCACTTAACGATAATAATAGTTGTTAAGTCTCGGAAATACGTGTTCCTCGGTCGAAGCGTCATGACTTCCAACCGACGCATCTCGTTCGAAAACTTTTCCACTGATATTCCTGCGCGTATCTCTAATGATCTCGGATCAACTTTCGTAAGTTTTTTTTGTTATTTTTTTTATATTTTTTTTATAGGAGCATGTCGTCTCTGACGTCTATTCGCACGTTTGCTGCTTCGACACTTATTCCGTCTCTCGCATTTCTGCCTCGAGTTCTCGCAGTCTCCGCGTCGTCCGGCGACTCGGCATGAAAAAAAAGAAAAGCTGTTTTCCTTATCCCCTACGAATGAATATGATAGTGATCTTTGCCATATCTCTTTGCAAAACGGCCGTGTTGCAGAGGGAGTGGGGAATGGCTACTACCTACGCACCACTTGTTAGAGTATAAAAAAGTCAGGACTCAATCTACGTAATGTGCGTTCACCGCTGC